CATTTTTTATGCTTATATTGTAAGCCATATTAGGAGCAGTCACATTGAACTCATTCTTCCAAGAACTGAAGCTACTCAAATCAGTACTAGTGTCCGCGATATATACCTTGATCAAGAGGGAGCAAATAGGACCATAACTTAAGCTTACCAAACAAAGGTTCCCTCCCTTTTGTGCTATCCTAGATTCATATCCTTCTCTGATATCAAGTTCAGCTGGAACCATAGTCGTAACAACTTCTTCTTTAGATACATTGAAACATATGAGGGATGTAATGATCTCATTACTCCCACAACGTGGCCGAGTACAACTATCCATGTACCAATACAATACCCCGTTCACATATACACCCTTCTCAAATCTCGTACCAAATTTTATATCAGGTATTGCTTTCAGAGACCTCCACGAACGGTCAGTTCCAACAGTAAAAACTAATGGTTTAATCTCAAATCCTTCGCCATCTTCTTGAAGAACAACCACCTTGTATTCATAGGAAAGCTGGCAAAACCCGAACCCAATTGCAGCAAGACAGGGGGGTGTAACAGAACGAATTTCATACGTATATGGTGGAGTAGTGAAATGCTCTTCAGTCAGAGGATTCAAGACATGGACACGAGCATTGCGACTCCAAAAACAAACAAAACCATTCACAGAATTCACTGTTATCATTCGTGGTACTTGGAATTGCAATACATCGTCTATTGTAAACATGTATTTAGTCTCTAAATCTTCATTAGGATAGTTTGGGAAAGGCCTACTCTGCCATTCCAACGCAGAAACTGAAATGGAGCGTGTATTATCAATCTGATAAAAAACAACTGCTTCATATTGTGAGAAAAATGATGATGATTTTAATATTCTGCACTCAACGTGTGAGTAGGCAAAACTTCCACTATAGATAATCGAACACCACTGCATACATACTTTCTTTATAGTTTCAAACAACTCTTCGCAAGGTACTCTTCGTAATATCTCAACAACAACTTCTTTAGGTATCGAAATGTTGTTGACATATTGCTTTTTCCTCGTCTTTGCGACCTGCATTTCTTTGAAATCATAATAGTTAGCCTACATACAATGAATTTTGAACATGTTACATTTCTTTTGAGTTAGAGGGTACGTTCACATTAAAGCCGCGCGCTATCACTAGGGCTGCAGGATGGGAATGAAGGTCAAGTGGGGGCGAGTGCAATAGTATTCTTACTTTCTCTCGATCACTTCAATCACAGGCCGAGCCAATGTTAGGACTTTAGGGGTTCTAAATCAGTTTTGATTGAGGGTTCACATGTTAATATACATATATTTGTTTGGTCTATGAAAAAGCTAGTGGGTTCGTCCGAACCCATGAACCCCCACCTAGCTCCGCCTCTGACTTCAATGCCTATAATTTGAGGGATAAGAGAAAAGCCCTCTCTCCTATTCAAAGATGGGTGAGAAATGGTTCCATCTTGTCAATAAACTTTCCCCAGCCTTCGATTAACCTTATAATCATAAAGGGTCTTACGATCAGGAGAACTACCTAAGTAAAGAAAAATAGTCTTCTTTCTAAGAGTCGGCAAGTGACTTTTACTCCTACTTGAAACTACTATGTGGCTATTCAGAGTTTTTCACGGCCAAAGTCAAAGGTTTGTTGGTGGCAAGATCAACAACCGCACCTGAACTACCCAGAATTAATCTCTCTATTACGCAAATATTACTTGTTTTTTTTTATAATAAAGAGACATATATGATCCTTGTCATCGTGCCTTTTACGTTTCTTTTGAGTTGAGGATCTACCAGAAACAAAGAACATAATAACCAACAGCCCATCCGATTAATTTGGTATAGAATGATTCTTACAAAAATAAAAATTCTAATTGAAGATATGGTATAATTAAAACATGTATCAAAGTTAAAGAGCGGTATAAAATAACGAGAGGATGACAACAACAAAATAATGTGAATTGAAGCAAAGAAAACAACGAATATTGATAAGTGAACTAGACAACATTCGACTACCTACTAATTACCTTCCATCCTTATCATCGACCTCCAACCATGTTGCGGTAAAGAAACAAGTGAGTGAGATCTTACTTTTAATAGAGAAAATAAAGCTAGAATCTCTCAAAATTTTGTTTTTTTTTCCAATTGACTAGTTCTTTTCATTTGATTTTTTCTATTTTAATTGGGGTTTAATTAAAATAAATTGAAATGAACTAGTCAATCGAATAAAAAAACAAAATAAGAGAGAGTCTAGCTTAATTTTCTCTACTTAGATCTCACTCACTTGTTTGTTTCTTAACTTTCATCAAATCAGTTTCTTGATAATAGTACACTTGATGATTACAAATCTTGGGGGTATTGATGATGATTAAGGTGAGCTGCTTCCTCTTCGGAGGTCGAGGATTAGGGTAGAATTTAATTAGTAGATAGTCGAACATTGTCTAGTTCATTTATTATCATATTTGTTGTTTAGTTTGCTTCAATTCACATATTATATTGTTGTTGTTGCTGCTACCTGATCTCCTATTAATTAGTTGTTTTCACCATGACTTCTTTCTTTTGTATTTTCTTTAGTGAAAATGCACAAGTAGCCTTAACCTATGCCCAAAATCTCAGAGACACACTTATACTATACTAAGGTCCTATTAACTCCTTAACGTATTTTATAAATAATTTTCTACCCTTTTCCAGCTTACGTGACACTATCTTCTGGGCCTAGCGTGTATTGATATTTTTTTTCAAGCTAGTGTCACATAAGTCGAAATAGGGTAGAAAATTATTTATAAAATGCGTTCAAGGGGGTAATGAGAA